GTTTACATCCCCATTACCGGCCACTGATGTTCCTGTACGGAGCATCTGGCAGAGTAAAGCCGAGCGTCGGCTCGGGTTTGACCCAGAGGGGCCTGACGCTCCTGGCGCTCCGACCCAGGAGTCCTCCTGGGTCGGAGACTTACCCGTGTCGACTTGGTCATTGGGTCCATGTCCACAAAAGTTTGTTGACGTCACAGGTGACACCAGAATGGACAACTGTATGACGTACTACAAAGGTGCCGGTCCGGGTTGAACTGCAAGTCTCGACTGGAGCTACAAGGTGCTCTTTAGCTGGTCACAGGAGCAGTGCACGCCTTGCACACCTTTCTTTTTGACGGCCCTAGGGTGTCTACGGGGCAGGTCGAAGAGTCCGTTGTCCTTCTCTCAACGAAGGACAGGACGTGTCAGTCATTCAACAACATGCATTAAGAGGTCCCTATGAGCCCAATTTCAGCAGTACAACCAAGGGCGCGCGGGTTAGCAGGAAGAACTTGTAGAGCCACCACGCTTCAACGTCGCCTTTGTTTTCAGTTTGAGCAGCTAGACCGGGCGTCGCGCCGGCCACCCTACGGCGACAAAGGGTGGTGCCGCGTTTGTAACATAACAAACAACTCCTACCGCTCTGAGCCTTTCCTCGCTCGGCTTCAGAGGGCTAACCTCTTCTGCTGACCACCGACCTCATCAGCATCACGTAGTCGACAGGCTAAAGAGTGACTCAGAAATTAGTTACTCTTCACACCCCCTAAGCTACATAACTCCTAGAGGAAAGACGTTTCTTGTGTTTCCTTTCAAAACAGAAATTTCAAGTGGATGTTGCAAAAGTAGTTTATATCCAGAGTCTATATTTTGTTGTAGTACAGGACTAACCGGACTTTGGTGGTTTGTCTAGGTAACGTCGTAATGGGTATTAGGGGAGAATAAAGGTCGGGACAAAGGTTTCACGACTAAGAGCACAGACTAGCAACCAGCTGCAGTCACAAGGGCCGGTAATAATTTCTGACACTAGGCAAAATATTTTCAAACTGTTTTCAAACTGTTTTCAAAACTGTTTTCAAACTGTTTTCAAAACTGTTTTCAAAACTGTTCAGTATGGAGTCAGATCTAGCTGTACTTATTTTGGTGTTATGTTTAAATTATTTTCCCGAGGTCGCAACAGGCCCCCGTGAAGAGGGCTTCATTCTCCCCGCGCATCTGGATAAATTGCGCAGTCCAGCTGAAACCGTTGTAGCCGTTGATGGGACGTTACAAGCCATATATTTTTTTTAAAACTCATTCGTCACCGTCACCCGTTGCATCCTGGGATATGGTAGACCGCGGAGTGTACATCAGATGTATCCTCTAAATCTGGGGAAAGAAGGCTGCATTTGCGGGCCGCATTCGGAGGAGTCTTGTCTTTTTTTAAAATTGGGACAGCCTTCGTTTGGCGGAAGTGACGTATGCGGTCTCCGAATGCATCCTCAGGAGGATGCGGCCGCTGAATTGGGACACAGCTTGTATGTCATTTCAACATGAGCCTTTTCAGTTACACCCTGTATTTATAAGCATGTATCCTAATGCAACCAGCAGACTTCTCTACCAATGCTATATTAACATTATGAGCGATTATGAAGCGCCAAAGAATCCTATGTTTTTATTTTTTAACCATTTCCCCTATTCTCCTATATTCTTGCCATTAGCTAGTTGTTTTACCAACATACACTTACGATAAAGCAACCCTTCAATGGCAACTCTTCGAAAATGCTGCTTTATACACTGGACATCTTTTCCAGCGAGAAAAGCCTTTAGTGGCTTCCTTTGCATTGACCGGTGTTACGGCCCGTCCACACAGCGGCGTGAGTTGAAAGCATAGGTTGAAAGTTTCACCATTCACTTTGAATGGGGTGACGTCACTTTTCGCCGAACTGCATTGTGGGAAGCGAAGCAGAGCTTTGCTGGCGTAGCTCGCTGCAAAAGTTGAGCAATGTTCAACTTTTGAAGCCTCGGCAGAAGCGTCAGCCAATCGAATCTTATGCCAGTACAAGCGGGAGATTCATGTGATTGGTTGTTGTTCGAGTTTCAGACACGCCCGCCGGCAAGCTTCAATGCACGCCGCTGTGTGGACGGGCCGTTACTGTAACAAGGCTAGCTCATCATTAGCATGTTCGCAATAAAGGAAACAATAATTAAAACAATAAAGAAAGACTCTTATACAACTGATACTGTTGCACCATCTAATCTTACCCAGCTGAGAGCCAGTATTGTTTGTAATGTGTCATGATGTCACACAGTATGATTTGATCTCTGTGGAACAAAATTGCTTGTGACAGCTCACATGGATTTGACTTACAAGTGGACATTTAGCGATACATATATATTGCCATTCCCTCTAAAAAAAAAGAACTGTGATGTGATTTTTGTTCCATATTTCTACCGCTAGGTCTAGCTAGATAGTTTAAATCTATTCTGACTTCTTTGCCTCTCGGATGTGTAGCTTTTAAAGTGAACGTGCTAACATTTAGCTATCCCTGTTTACACGTGATAAGGATGGTTAATACCATTTACCTAAGTAATGACAGCAACCATGTTACATTCTGTTATTCTGTCCATCAATACCTGTTACCTGATGTCTCTGTCCACCTGTGTTCAAAATGTCCTCGTGTATTTCTGTCTTGTTTGTACTGTAGTAGTTTGTGTGGTTGTATTGTGCTTTGCTCTATATGTCAAAGAGGAGATTTACTGTAGACTCCAAAGCCGGATTATCAAGAAACAGCTATTTAGTGAAAGGTATGGCACAGAGGTGTGTGTGTGTGTGTGTGTGTGTGTGTGTGTGTGTGTGTGTGTGTGTGTGTGTGTGTGTGTGTGTGTGTGTGTGTGTGTGTGTGTGTGTGTGTGTTTTGAGTGTGTTGAGTGTGTGTGTCTGTTGAGAGGGATTTAGGGCTGGTGCTTAGTGTTGTAGCAGGCTGCTCGTACAGTTGCCTAATCTTCACCAATCCCATTAAACCTACCTGCTCGTGGAGAATTACCACGTTTAAGCAGCTCAGACGGCTTTCAGCACCTCAAGGACTCCTGGTGATGGTTTTGTTGAGGTTTGGTTTTGGAGAGTTCCCCCTCTGAGGCTCTGCAAAGCATCAGCAGTGGTTGGATTACTTTTTTTATATGAGGCCATTGCTTTCAGTAACATCTTATGGTTGGATCTCGGGTGAATACAATGGCAGAAATAATGGACGTTAGTTTTTTTGGTTTATTCAAGTCTCTGCCTACTTCCACATCTCACAACCCAATAGATACTTGGACATGAATCAAATTCAGATATTTTATGTTCAGAAATAGCCTGAATAATATGGAAATACATGTAGCTACTCTGAAGGCTGACATGATACATTTGGCAAAATCTACATTTCTACAGCACTAATTCCAAATTGGATTGTATACTCACCTCTCTGCGATCAGTTCCCCTTCTATTACAGAAATCAGCTTTATTTTCATTTCTGACCAATCCACGTTAAGCTGTAGGTGAAACAAAAATACATAATCACTGCAGGTTTCTATAAGGTTGTGATAATAAACAATTATTCTCCTCACTTGTACTCAACAGTTACTGGAAAACCAAGCAGCTGTCTCCGAAGCGCCTGAGTACGGGCATCCTGATGTACACGCTGGCCTCCTCCATGTGCAACCAGATCCACCTGTACGGCTTCTGGCCCTTCGGATGGGACCCCAACACGGGGAAGGAGCTGCCGTACCACTACTACGACAGGAAGGGCACCAAGTTCACCACCAAATGGCAGGAGTCCCATCAGCTTCCCGCCGAGTTCAAACTGCTCTACAAGATGCACTTGGATGGACTGCTGAAGCTCTCGCTCTCCCACTGTCCTGCTTAGTGCTAGAGCTGCAGCAGGGACAGCGCTCCTTCAATCTCCAACGCTTCCACGGGCCAGAGCTGTCCAGACGGCAAGGGAAGGATTCGTGTGGTTTTTGCCAAACATCTCACATCTTGGCTCTGAGGCTGAGTTGGTGCAATGGGCTCAGTAACAGAAGCCCTGTTTGACAAACCGTGTTCGCATAAACTGCAACAGCTCAAGGAACAACGAGTCTTTTCATCTTCTTCTGCTCAAGAATGCAAAGCAGTAGAGGAAAAGGTGGCTGAAACTGGACTAAGCAGCAAAAATTGCTTCACGGTGTTTTGACATCAAGAATGCTACAAATCAGCACACACACAGACATTACATGTATCCTTGAGACCCCTGGCTGTCATGAAGCAAAGGGCCACGGGAAAAAAGGTGAACATGGCTCAATATCATCTCAAATGTAATGCCGTGTCATGCAGCAACACACTTTGCAGAGCTGACCCGCTTTGCTCGTAAAACCAATCATGGAGAGAAAATGAGACATTGAGAGATGAAGAATCCTTTCTTATATTGTCCTGAAGACTGTGCAGTGTTTTGGCGTTTGTAAGCTCATCATGAATCAGTTCCTCAAACCTCTTGTACCATTATTGATTCACGTGTACCTGAAGCAACACGCGACCGCCACCAGGCTTTGTTTCGACGCAGTGCTGCTTTTAGTCTGAACTAGGGTTCGCGATACTTTAAAATATTCTAACCAGCAACCATCAGCCCAACAACCGCTGATAGCCAATATGTTAGTGCGATTAGTTTAAGTTAGGAGACCAGTGCGAGTTTGCTTCATTCCTACAATCTCCCCTTGTCTAATAAATAAACAACTCGTTCTTGGGAGGCAGACCATTAAAATATTAAAGCGACGAAAATCAACCGAAATAAAATATGCCAACTACCTATTGCCGATATATACTGTAAGTCCAATTGCCGAAATTTTGATTTTGAAATGATTACCAGCTGAATTGAAATTGTACTTTTGTTTTCCCCATTACAAAATGTAGGGATAACGTCTAATATCAACTTTAGATTAGGCACTTTCATATTCATTCAGTCACAGTACCATTATTCTTAAAGCTGCATAACCCTAAATATTGGGGTAAAAACGTCCTGAAACTATTTACATATCACCTCAAAGAGTTTCAATGTAATGATATTTATACATCCAGCTGACACAGACCAACATAATCATGATTTGAGTTGTTTTTGTGATGAATGTATGTCCAATAATCTCCCCTGTCCCCTGTTTTTGGTCTCCTCCAACCTCCGAGGAAAATATCTATTTTTTAGCTGCTAAATGCTCCAATTAGTTCACCAGCAAGTTGTAAACTATGTCCGTCTGCCAATCAAAACTGAGAGGTTTCAGCAGAACCTCTTCTATGATATTGCACAAGACTAAATTCATGTATAGACTTTCAGACTCTATTTAACGTCTGGTTGAGTTTGACGCTTTGCCAGAATATCAAATAGCACAGCGCATATCTTTAGGTGAGGTTGTGTGTCCATGAGACAACTTAAACAGACAAGGAGAAGTACAGAGAGGGATGTTGGATTCAATATGTCACCATTTTGGATAAAGGTAGGACTTTTGGTAAAGCTGACTGATGTTAGCTCGCCGGTTGTGTACTATGCAAGTTATCAGAAAGATTCGCTTTGAGACTGTATGCTGCCATTTCTTTTTCTTCCATGTTGTGGTCATATATGATAGTGTCATGGATCCATTCACACACAGTTATCTTTTAACACTTACCTTAAAGGTGGGGTAGGTAATTTTGGAGAAACCAGCTCGAGTGCGCTGGAATTTGAAAATTAGGGTTGCAAAGGGGTGGAATGTTTCCGGTAAATTCCCGGAAAGTTTCCATGGGATGTTAAGCTGGGGAATTTTGGAAATATTCGATGCGAAATCAAACAAAAAAACATGACATTTCAACAGATTTTTATTTTATTTTTTAAAAGTAGAACAGAACAACTTTTAATTATTTTATTGAACAATTATTTGTTTCATTGAAGAACGAAAACAGGAATGTTGAGTTAAATATTACTCATCTGTGCATGTGATGGAGGAATGAGGGGGTGTGGTCTCAATAGCCATGCAGTAAGCAGTGTGCTATGGCATGGATATTCAAGTGTACTTGAATGGCATCTGTTTGTTTTAGTCAAGATTATGCTAAAATATACTTTCCCCAACTATATTTAAGTTCCCTATGAAGAGGGAACCTTCAATATTGAAAATTCCCAGTTTATTCCCATAAATTCCCGTTTATTCCCGTGGAAAGTTTCAATCTTTGAAAATTCCCGGAATTTTGCAACCCTAAAAATACAAAACCGGAAAAAATATGCCACTTCCTTACAGAGCCCCTCCTCCAACACACATGAAATCGCACATGACCAATGAGGGCACGAGATAAGTTTGTGCACAGATGGAAGGCTGACAGGCAGGTAGGCCATCCAGTTATTTTAGCCGGGCCGGCTCAGATGATTGGTCGTGCTTTTTCAAGAATTTTTCATTTTTTTAATGGATTTTTTGTCAAAGTACTTCAGATATTCATTGCTAAAAAAAAGTGTATCTCGAGCCGGTTTCTCAAACTGATACACTTTTTTTTAGCAATGAATATCTGAAGTACTTTGACAAAAAATCCATTAAAAAAATGAAAAATTCTTGAAAAAG